GCCGCACATTCTTCTGCATCTGATGATGTCGTTTCCTCCGCCGTCTCTGTGCCGTCACCATCTCTTCTCTTCTTACCATCGATCCTTTCTCCAAGCCTCTGCCGGTGACTTCATGGATAAGTACTCTTCATTTAGGTCTAATCGGACAAAGTTAAATCTCTCTAATTATTCAAATATGTTAAGTATGAATCATGTCCAGACATTGGGATTTTAGTGTTCTTTGTCATTTTGGTGCTTGTAGGATTGTTATATTGCATTGACAAATGGAAATTCAATCGTCACCCTTCCGTTCGGAAACTCTTGATTGGTATTGGATAATGGGGTGTGTGCTTCTCGATCATTGTGTTCTTGATTCTGGTTTAGCTTGCACGCTTGAGTAATTGAAGATATGATTTGTCATTCATAGTTGTGCAACTTGTTTCTAATTGCATAATAAATCCAAAGAAGAGACTTTTGGGTTTTGGGAATCTTTTGGATTCTTTGATTTGCTTGTTTAGTTGAATCATTAGAACTGATATTACTCGATAAGAGCAACATGCTAAGATTGGCTTGTTTTTTGAGAAACAGGTTTTCAATGGGATCACACATGGTAAATTGCAAGAAAGTTTCCAAATCTTGAAGAAACTGAAACTATAAATGGACAAACCTTAAGGCGTATCCAAGTGGTCATGGTTTTATGTTCACGCAAACAAACTATCCACAAACGTATCCAAATGGCCATGGTTGTATGGTCACACAATCCCATTTATTATCCAAATGGTCATGGTTATTGTATATTGTCCATATGCTTTTGTACATGTGTTCGATATAGCATGGACATATTGTACTCCAATTTTATCACAATCCTTACATTCTCATTTTACAAGTGATAAAGACTCGTTTTACTACCCCTGGATGTTGGTAGATCTGTTTCTTAATTAATCTCTTATTTGTTTCCTTTTTTTTCCTGCACATATAGTTTTCTTTGTGTGGTTCTGTCACAAGAATTATACCATTTGTATGTTGTTTATATAACAAAGTTGCATCTTATTACGCTAGTAAACGTGGATGGAAGATCATGGACAAGTTATCGATTAGTAACCACAAAACCCTATCCACGGTCTACTGTCCACATGGATAATGTTATTTGTAAATAAGCTAGCAACGAGATTTCCTTCTCCATAAACTCTAATCCTTTAATAAAAATACATTCACTAATCAACCATCTATGTAACATATAATTAACAAAACCAAGCTCAAGGGATATCTCAAAATGACAAAAAGTAAAAGGGTGATAATCTTGTAAAAAGATTCATGAATCGTGGATAATGAATTGTGGATATGAATGCCTCCCCATCCCATTTAAGTACAACAGACACTGAAACAAAACTTCTTTTGTCCAAACATCATCAAGAATCGCCAGCTTCTCTTGTCCAAACATCAACAAGAATCACTAGCTTCTTCTGGATGACCATCCACAAATAGCCGTCCATCTATGGCATCCACGTACAAGCTAAAAAANGTTTGTAAGAGACTTTTAAGCATGGTCACTAGTAGTAAAAACTTTACACAGCTCAAATAGTACAACCTTATGAAAACATAGCAACAACAATCAAAACACAAACCATAAGACTAGAAAAGTGGGAAAAACATTAATCTTAGATTTTCCAAAGTTGAAAAAAACCTTCAACAAGATCACTACTAATTTAAACCTTAAATAAGCCTCAAATTGCACAACCTCATCACATATAAAATTTTTAGAGAGTAGCAACATAAATTTCTAAAACTATGAAACCAAGACAAAGCTACTAACAATTAAACCCAGAAAGTACAACACACAACTCTATATTCACACACAAATCTATCACAAAATAGATTGTAGAAAAAATTGAAGAAACTAAAAAAGTGAAGTTGAGGACCAGTTTTGTAGTGTCCATGAAACCGTGACCAGTTTATAGTATCCATACAGACACGAACTCGTGCAACAACTGAAAAGGTCACAAATTCGTTCTGATTAACTGAAAATGTCAACACAAATTCGTTCTTGAATCTTTAAACCAACAAATGAATCAAAATTCCAAGAAAGATAATCAAATTCTATCACATAAATGTGTATATATGAATATTATCACATAAAGGAGAAAGATAAACTTTTTTCAAGACTTTTCTGCAGATAAACACCAAAACACGTTTTTAATGGTAAAGATCCAGCAAAAAAACCCATTGCAAACAAAAAAAAACTAATTTTTGCGAATATTCAGGAGAAATTGTATTGATTCTATTTTGCATAAGATCAGAGATGATAATGAAAGCGAAGCACACAAATCAAATTGAAATCCCTAGATTTTGACTGATATAAATTCACGAGGTGGTGGATGGATCAGAGATTGAAAGCTTTGTTTCCGGTCACGATTGTGCAAGGTTGAGGCTTCAAAAATTCAGTATCTCTCACGCGCCGCCGGTGTTGAGGATCAACACTTCTCTTCTTCGGCGATTTACCTCAGGCGCCTTCGCTCAGCCCACGACTCTGTTGCCGTCGCGCTCACCGTTGGCCAACGACGGAGATGCTAGAATCGAAGGTTGAATCTGTGGCGCAGATGCTGAAATCGAAGGTTGAAGCCGTGGCGGAGATGCCGGGATCCGGGTTGAACCTTGTTGCCGACAATTGTCTAAAAAATTGTCTAAAAAAATCATATAAAAAAAATCAATTGTCGATAATTAGAATTGCCGGGTTGAACCTTGGATCCGGATCCGGGTTGAACATTAAAATTTCATCTAAAAAAAATCAATTGTCGATAACTAGAATTGCCGGGTTGAACCTTGTTGCCGACAATTGATTTTTTTTAGATGAAATTTTAATGAATCTGTAAAATCTAGGGGATAACTAAAATAAAAACTTCTAATTACTGTGCAAGGATAAAAAAGTTAAAACTAAACAAAAAAAAGTAACTAGATATGTTAACTGAGGGATATAATGGACAATTTCCAAAGGCAAAGTCACATTGTTTTGCAGAGTGCCTTTTGTTGTAAACTATTTATCGGAAAGTGCCTTTTGTTATAATGCTCCCAAAAAAATTGATAGTCAAAAATTTTTTTATAATATAAAATTTCATTATATTATACGAATACAGAATTTGAAATACAAAATTATATTATTTTATAATTGAGATTTATAGGTGAGTTTAAACATATACTACAATATTGTATATAATATATTTTTTGGTTAACTTCTTCAGTAATCACATCAAAACATAATATATAATGTCATACCACATCAACACATGGGTAAGT